ATAATAACGTTAATAAATATAATTCATTTATATACGGTTAGTTTGATTTTGCAAATTTATTCAAATCCCATTCTATTGTTTCTTGGTATTGTGTTTCTGCTCCCTGATCTTTGGCGCTTAAGTGTACCAGGTATTGTCCAGTAGATCATAAGAATACAATACGTTATGCACTTGGTTGTAATCTAATTAAGTAACTTTAAGGCTTTAATCCCCGAAGGGGTAGACAGAGGCATATTAAACACTCTCATTGGTATAGAAGGCGGGTCTTATATTTATATCAACTTACCAGCATAAATTATAGTCCCGAGTCGGCTTTTTTCTTCCAAAGGTACCCATTTGCCTATAAGGTTGTGTATTGTTGGGAACAGAAATCCTTGTGTCAAACCCTGTAGAACACGACATGCACAGAGAGCTTCCCAGCCTCCCTGAAAACAGTAGTATTTATAATTTACGAGTTTGTTAAACTTCTGTTGTTACAACAACGCTTGAAAGTTAAAAATAACATGTGTCAAAATATTATGTGGGAAATATTTTCGGTCTCACCATAAGCATTGCTTTAATAAGCACCTCGATGAAAAACTGAATAAAGCCTGCATTATTTTCTGCCAATGCAAGCGGCTACTCGGCAAAAGCTGGGGACTATCATCTAAAATCACTTTATGCCTATACAGGACAGTCATAAGACCAATAATCACTTACGGTGCTGTTGTCTGGTGGCAGAGAACAGAGCTTAGCACCGTCATAAACAAACTGCAGCAATTCCAGCGACTCCCATGCTCCGCTGTCACTGGCTGTATGCGCACAACGCCTACTGCCGCACTGGAGGTGGCTCTTGGTCTGCCACCCCTGGATCTATTCATACAGCAAGAGGCCGCCATGGCGATCATTAGACTCAAACACCTGGGTCTAATGCACAAAAGTGAGGGATCGCACTCCAAATTATGGGATCAATTGGTGGAATACGAACCACTGATAGCAGCTCCATGCGATAGAATCCCAAAACACCATATCTTCACAAGAAGATACTACATCCAGATACATGGAAATGACCGAGATCAATCCGGCATTAACGAAGTCCGAATTTACACGGACGGTTCCAAGACTAGGTCAGGAACTGGAGCCGGAGTTTTCTCGCAAGACCTAAACATAAACATATCACTAGCGTTAGGCCAACACAGTTCCATATTTCAATGTGAATGTGTGGCAATAACTTACGCTGCCACAACGGCCATGTCAAGGGGTATCAAGGACTACAACATCCGAATAATATCCGACAGCATGGCCGTCTTAAAGGCACTGGAGGGCAACACAATGACCTCTGGTATTGTCTTCGAATGCCACCAAGCACTGGAACAGCTCGCTATATTCAATGGGGTACTCCTCCAATGGATTAAAGGGCACAGTAACTCACACGGGAACGATGCCGCAGATGAGTTGGCAAGGAGGGGCTCGGCAACCCCAACCTCTGGCCCAACTCCACTCCTGCCCATATCGTTTAACCAAATACGATGCTGGGTCAGGCAACGGACCTGTGAAGCACACAACCGGAGGTGGAAAAACTCACCCGGCTGCAGACAGTCCAAACTGGTGCTGAATCAAGTCACACCACGACTCACCTGCAGACTGATCAGTCTTAGCAGACCGGAACTCAGAATGGTTTTTGGAACTATTACAGGACATCTAGCCCTGAACCGACAACTATTCATAATCAATGCGACGGACAGTCCCCTGTGCAGGGGATGTCTGGAAGCTGAAGAAACGGCTGCCCACGTAGTCCTGGAATGCGAGGGAGTGGCCACACAACGGGCACGTATCATTCCTGATATAAAGTCGCTCCTAGAAGCCTGTGAACGCCCCAGGAGGCTTCTGCGCTTCTGGAAGGAGCTTGGTTGGCTCACCTAGTCAACCAATCCTCGACGCATAAAGGACCACTCTGAGTCTAAATGCGGAAACCGAAGCCCACAACCAAAAGCATTGCTTTAAGTCAATGTTTTTTTGTAATCCGTTGCGTGGAATAAATAAATATTTTTTTATCTCAGGATATCTGTTTAAATATTATAATAGGTTAGGAATACTGGCAGTATTTGCTGTTTACAAAGAGGTGATGATAAGGGGTATGAAAGTTTAAATTTCCATGCTGAGACGTAGGCTTACAACACGTCGATTACAGTTAATCTAAGAAAATCTATGTGTGTAAAATATCCTAAGTGGGATATAAGGTTATGAAATCTACTGCAGATGTGGACATTTTATTGCAAAACCTTTCGTTTCGGGGCTTAATATACCTTCATAAAATAAAGATGCTCGTAAAAGTTTTAGAATATTATCATCATCATCATCAATCAACAGCCTTTAATAGTCCACTGCTGGACATAGGCTTCTCCTTGGAAAGGAGGCTTTGGCCCTACTATACCACGCTGGCCAGACGGGTTGGTATATGGATTATTAGTATAAACGTCTTCGAATTGTTAAAACACACAATGAACAATCAAAATGGTGCTTAACTTGAAGCTACGTACATATACATATATATATACAGATACTTCTTCTTTTTTTTTTAAAAGACAACTCCTGCATTAGGAATATATCTTGTGTCGCAGGGGACTTTACAAACATACACAAAGAACACCCAGAGTCAGAACAACAATTTGTGGATCCCACAAAGTGTCGTCCCATGTGGGGTTTGAACCCACAACACTCGGTGCAGTAAGAAGCGGCGTGGCGACCGCTTAAACCACTACACCATCCGTGCAGTCGGTCAGATATAACAAATAGATATTTTTTACTTACATAATAAGCTGATAGAGGCACCAACAATGAAATTACAGCATTGGCACCGACTACTATAGTGATGAGAATACTGCCACCAAACCTCGCAGCAAGCTCACCGGCCGGGAGCTGCAAGACGATGTAGCCCCAGAAAAATGATGAGAGGATCACGCTCTGTGTCTGTATGTTCCAATTAAATGTCTAGAAAAAGATAAAAAATATGATTACAGGAGTATATTCTATCATGTAATAACAAATAAATAAAATTAAACTGTCTGTTTGGAATGTCAAAATCATAGTTTTTTGTCTGTCTGTTTGTTTGCTCTGGGTAATCTTTAAAACACCACCAGCTATTTGTCTATATAAGGAGTAACTTAGCCTATTCTTCCTCTGAGAAAAACCCGAAGACTAGTCGCTAGTCTATACTAATATCATAAAGAGATAAAGTTAAGGAGTTGTTATATTCGGGCTAATCTCAAGAAGTATTGGTTCGAATTGGAAAATTCTTGTAGTTTTGGATAGCTCTTTTAACGAGAAATGATATAAGCTATATAAAATCATTCTACAAACAATCACATCAATCACATCAACAGCCTTTAATAGTCCACTGCTGAACATAGGCCTCTACTTAGACAGAAGGTTTTGGCTTAACCAATATTGGCATTCACCTCAACTATTATTAAAAGTGGAAATAATTTAAAGAAATTGTTTTCCATTTTTGTAGCGGACAACAGTGACTAAAAGAAAATTTTAAGTTAAGAGACCTTAGACTAAGATACATCGTTAAAATTTAACGATTTGCATTCATTTGGCGACCACAGAGCGATCGATAGTTGTTTTAATGTACCTTAGCAGTAAAATTGCCAAGAATATTTCTGTCATCAAATAGATTAATTATTCAAAAGGAAACTAGTTTATTAACCTTGGCTTTCTAAGTTAATGTCAGGTATTACTCTGAGTAGCTGTTCGTTCCTTGCAGTGATAACATAGCAAGTCCAAAGCCGCAATGATGTATAGATTTAAGAACCGGTTGTGCGTAGTGGTTTGTGTTACGGACTGCTATTCCAAAGGTCGCGGGTTCGATACCCGCTCAAGTCAAACATTTGTGTGCATAAACATTTAATGTTTGATTTGGTCTGGGTGTTTCTATGTATCGTTAACATCATCAACAGCCTTTATTAGTCCACTGCTGGACATAGGACTCTCCTCAGAAAGGAGGATTTGGCCTACTATGGCCAGACGGGTTGGTATAGGGTCAGTTTCAAGTTTTCCTTCTCTTTGCAGTGCTATTTAAAATGTGGCACATTATAATTATTATTATAAATTATTAATTCTCAAAGTAATACTACATTAATAAATACTCCTCAATAAATACGACCGCCTTCTGAATAACTGCATTCGATTCGTCTTTAACCTTCGCAAATCCGACCATGTTTCTTCCTCTCGTCGTGAATTGAACTGGCTCACGATTCGTCAGCGCCGTCAGCTTCACGCCCTCACCACCCTCTATTCCATACTCAACTCACCTATTTCCCTTTCCTACCTAACGTCCTCATTTCATTTTCTATGTGCCAATCACAACAGAACTCTACGTTCATTAAACAATCCACTTCTGTTATGCCCCACTCATACTTCCGCATGTGTCCACTCTTCGTTCTTAGTCCAATCTGTCCTCCTCTGGAACGCTCTGCCTTTGGAAATCAGGATAGCACCCAGTCGCCTTTCATTTAAGACGAAACTAGACACCGGCACACACAACTAGAGACCGAGCTCGAATTCTAGACACTTTAGCAGACTCATCACATCCCTAAAGTCTTATATGTTATTATGTTAGTCTTGTATGTATTACTCAGCAAGTATATATATGTATGTGTATCTCAGTACGTATGTAACCTAATTTTAATTTCATGCACCTACTCAGACATTTCCCCACCACCCAAAGGTAGACTGGGAGAAAATGCCTTTGGCATTAAGTCCGCCATTGTACTTTGTTTGTGCAAAAAGAATTAAAAAAAAAAAAAAAAAAAAAACTATACCGATGTACTGGAGACGCATACATGCAAATATTTGCCAGTTCTTTAAACTGCCAGTACGTGCTACTAATTAAATATCACAAGTACATAGGGAACTGGACAGTATAGCAATAAATGTATAGCTAATATAAGCTATAATGCGACCAAGTCAAGGTCGATTACCTGTAACTCGATCTACCTGTTCTGGGAAGTCAGTTCTCTGGCATGCACATTCATTTGAATTATAATTTATTCCAAAGAAGTTTGCATTGCATATTACATTATTTACTTCCGTGACAAAAAAAATCCATTCCAAGTATTTATTATATTATACCTTTTTTCGAACGAAGTTCCTTATCGCGCGTTGTGAAAGGGGGCTAGACGAAAAAAAATCGTACGGAAATTTGGAACGACACTTTTTTATTTCTTTTGTTTTTAATATAAGTTGACGTCTAACTGTGGATACCATACATTAAATTTTCTTTAACGTTCGCCAACGTCCATACTATGTTGAATATGTTATAATTGTATACCAAAATGTTTCTGTAAGACCAGTAGCGCCATCTTTGTTTTATTTGTGTAATGTCTTTGATGCAAAAAATAAAACGTCAGTCGTTAACCAAAAGAGCGTGTATTAATAGGTTATGGGCTAATGTCCTGATTTTCTTAAGTAATTGGTATTACAGTTTAAGAAAAACGCTAAACTTTTGTGTAGATAATGGCTTCAAACTATATACAAAGTGTTCCCAAACTGAAAGGGAGGGAAAATTATGACGAGTGGAGTTTCGCGGCAGAAAATTTGTTAGTGCTAGAGGGCATGATCCAGTACATCAAGACGCCTGTGCCCGGTGCAGAAACAAAGACTGCAGACGATGAAAGGACTAAGGCAAAGTTAATATTGACCATAGATTCAGGGCTGTATGTTCATATCAAGGAAACGAAAACCTCGTTTGAGCTGTGGACAAAGCTGAAAAATATGTTTGATGACTCAGGTTTTTCAAGAAAAATCTCTTTGCTGCGACATTTGATTTCAATCAGGCAAGAAAACTGTGATTCTATGACTAATTATGTAACGCAAGTCGTCGAGACAGCACAAAGATTGAAAGGAACCGGGTTCGCTATAACAGATGAATGGATTGGATCATTGTTATTAGCAGGTTTGCCAGAAAAGTATTCTCCTATGATCCAA